TACACTGCCTACACTGCCTGGCAACTGGTGTATAAGTACCCCAAACGAACTGGTGTAAGCAACTGGTGTATAAGTAACTGGTGTCATTTTAGACGCTCCCACACACACACACTACCTTCGTCCCAGTGTATTTGTCCAGTTTGACTTTTTCGAGTCAAACTGGACAAACTTTGAACTCCAATTACTCTCAATTTATATTGCATATTAGCATAATGAAATACAACTTTGAAATTTCTCAATACGATAAGTCCAATAAAGTCATTTTTATGTTAAAATACATTACGGTTTTTATTTAATTAAATCTCAAAGTTTGTCCAGTTTGACTCGAAAAAGTCAAACTGGACAAACACACTGGGACGGAGGGAGTATATAGTTTAGGTTTTATTGCAATTTTAGCCAATTCCAAATTTGCTCAGAACACAATCCAACAATAACCAGTATAACCCAACCCCACTGGGGTCTGTGGGTCAAGATGACAAGATTTACACAACCTTACCCTGTAAAAAAACATTAAGGTTGTTTCTGTTAGACCTTGATGCATTGCTTCATTTACTACCCCAAAACCTTGTAGAACGTATGAAGCAAAGTAAGTTTAATTTCATTTTGATTTAAATGAATATGAAAAATATTACTAAATATTCCAATCCTCATTAATCATCAAATATATTCTTAAATGAGGCACAAAAATTAAAAGAACCATAAAATACGTCCTTTTGCCCCATAGTTTTCCTTTTTGATTTAGAATGATATCTTTTGGAATTATAATTGTATAAAACAGGAAGGTTATGAAGTCAATTTTGACCAAAAAATTAAGTGGCATCCCGATTAAATCTCCCCACTTTCATGTACACTTTTCAAGATTGTTGTGCAGATTCCAACCTTATTCTCATTGTGACAGGCAGCATATGATTTGTCTCGTGCAATGTTACATGTTCTCAATTTGCCCAGTTTAGCTACCAGCCTCATTCATCATAAAATTTCATTCCAAGAAATGTCTTCAAATCCTGGAAATCATGGAGTAATGATGACTAGAAGTGCAGCTTTTTTTAGGGGTCTTATCATTATTGAGAATATCTGTGAGCTCAAGTCAGTTGAAATCATCCTTCACTACTCTAGGAAAGTATGTAATACAGATTCAGATGGGATGAATGCTCACATTGATACCAACCAGAAGTTGGACTGCGAAGCCTGGCTAGACTGTGGAATTCACATGTCTATTGAGCAGTTTGATTTATTGTTTTCATTTGAACCAGAAAAGGTGAATATTTGCATCAAATTATCTGGATTTCAGTCTGATATTCTTGGACAAATAAAGGACATTGCTGAGGTTTCTGATCAATTTGAACTTAACAATCTTTTCCAATCATTGCATTGTTTATATGGAGCGTCGTGTTCATATGGCAAATTTGAGATGTGCTGGAAAGCCATTCCACTCCCCAGTTTGATAAATTCAGCTGATGTTTATACATCTAGTAGTGTAACTTTGCTGTTGTCTGGAGATTCTCCCTTGATGGTAAAAGCTGATGACCACTCTTTTGATTGCTTACACATGAGCATTGTTCTTGATGAAGTTTATTTAGTTGGATGCCCAGTAAAAAAATTGCTGATTCAATCACACAAACCAAATAAACTTGAGGGATCTCTTTGTGTTGGTGGAGAACTTCGTAATATCTCTTGCGAGATTCAGGTGTCTGTTCTGCTCTTAATCTCTTATCACTAAGATTGTATGCAGTGTTTCAATCCTCTTGTGCTGCTCGCCTGCTCCTAATTTTTTCGAATGATTTATTTTAATGTTTGGTAGGGAGGTTATATTGCTAGTGAAGCAACAGCAGTCGTGATGTTTGTTCAATGTTTTGCACTTTATCATTTCCGGTTCAGAGAGCTTTGGCCTGCTGCAACATTGGTCGGGGAGAAACATGCTGAAAATGTGGAAGTGATTAAAAGTTTACCAAGTCAAGAATTGTGGCACCAGCAATTAATTAATTGGAACCAATTCAAGGCACTGAGTATTAACATTTCACAACTCTCTCTTGGGCTCATGGGCAAAGATGAATCTGGTAACATCTTTTCTTTCTTCTCTTTAGATGGGTAGTCAAATGTTTGAGAAGCCTTATCATCTTTGCAGGCGGGCTTCAGGAACTTCTGCTAGAGACGAGCTGTGAATTTAACCTCAAAGCACCAACAATATATTCATTTAGTATTTCAAAATTGTCAATTATTTCATGCTCCTTTGACATGACGACGGAACAAAGAATTAGGGGCACCAACATTCTCTCTCCCTTTGTAATGTCAAATGAGAGAGACAGTAGTTCTGTTATCTCTTCAAAGTACGAGCATAATATCCATTCATTTGATGATGCAAGTAGCTCAAGTTCTCATGTTCTTCAAAAGGAAATTATTGCTGATGATTCAGAAAAATCACATACGAATAATGCTGGATCACAAAACTTGCTTGCATCTCCTCAAAATTATGTTTTGCGAGACCTATCAGCTTCTTTAGTAGTTGAACAACTTGTGTTGAGGAAGAGGAATGGTTCTCAGCAGTTGAACTATTTTTGGGTTGGCCGTGGCTCTCTTTTAGGCTTTGATATGACTATTTCTCTGCCTGAAATACAGGTGAGCAGCGTCATCAAGTGCTCTTGTTCTTTTGATATTTCAATATTTTATTTGTAAGTAAGCAATTTCAGGATGAAATAGCTACCATTTGATTTCAACCGCAATAGCCTGTTTGTTTGCAAGGAAAATGAAGTAGGAAAGCGATTTCCCTGGAAAGTCAGGGAAGGGAAAAGAAAACACACATACTGCAGTTTGGTTGCCAAGAATTTTTTTCCTTTTGCTTGCTAGGAAAGTACAAGAAAATCTATTTTCAACCATGTTAGATAAATAAAATTGGATTAGGTAAGAAATTCTTAAAAAAATTAGACTATTCAATATTTGTTTTTACCAAGGGAACTTTATTAAAAGAGAGAGGAGTCAGGCGGTTACAAACATGATGGAAAAAAAGAGAGAAAAAAGACAAACACCAAAATCAAAAATGAAGAACTAAATGCTTCCATTTCTCCAGAATTCTTTGATCCCCCACGTTGTGAAGTCTTCATCCTTAATGAGCCATTTCTTGTTCCTGTTTACCCAACACCAGCCTTGAATTTGTTTGAAGCAAAGCTGGATGATGTTGTCTTTGGTTGGAGCTTTCTCTTCATAAATGAATGCATTTCTTGCTTTCCAAATATTCCAAGCGATAACCCCTGGCAGAATTAGTCGCAGACAACCTTTGAAGTTCTTCTCATTTCCAGTAACCCACCAAGCTATCATATGTTGGCGAAGTGTAAGACCCTGCCGTATAGATGGGCCCTTAACAAAGGAGTTAAAGTAGTGCCAAACTTGTGTACTAAGGGAGCAATGAAGTAGGGAGTGGTCCAATGAGTCTTCATCCCTTCTGCAGAGAGTGCAGCAACTAGGGAGGGAGTAGCCAAATCTTCGCAAGCTGTGAGGTAATGGTAAGGCTTCGTTTAGAACTCTCCATTGAAACATCTTAAGCTTGGGGATTTGAGTCTTGTGCCAAATGTACTTGCTGGAGGTTAAATTTGGGTAGCCCATTTCCCCCACTTTGAAAGCTCTCTTGAGGGTGAATGAACCACCATCCCATGACATTCCCATCTCATCTCTGGAACTGTAGGTCTCTCCAATGTCATTGATTCTGCTGATTCTCTTCCAAACATGGGAGTCTGTTATCCTTTCCTTGATAGTGCCTGACTTCAAGTATTTACCTCTCATTTAAGAAGCCCAGATGCCTTGGTCATTATGGATCTTCCACCATAGCTTTAAGGAGTAAGCTTCTTTAAGTCTTTCAATGTTTTCGAGGCCCAAACCCCCTACCTCAGTAGGTTGGCAGATTGAGCTCCAGCTTTTCAATATAAATATAAATATATATATATAAACAAAGATTTGTTTTTTATTAATAACACACAAGGAAAAGTGTTACATCAGTGGTAGCTATGCCTCTAATGCATCAAGGCAATTGAGTGTAAGAAAGAAACAGTTTTTGAGTATGATCATGTAACCCTAGCTTAGCCAATGCGTGAGCTGCCAGATTGCTCTCACAATAAGTATGTTAAATGATGACACCATTTGTGTGTAACAAGATTTCTGAGAGTGATCCATAAAACCAACTCAAGCTTCTTCTTGCTGCCATTGTTTCTGTTTGGAGCGGGTTTGTAGTGTGAAGAGGGAAATGAGTAGCTTCCATTACCGTTCACATGCAGACCATAACTATAGCCCCTATATATAACAGCATGTTCTTAGGCCGTGTTTTGATATTGATTTAGATGTTCCTTTATTCATGTCAAGTGCAAGGGATAATTTAGAACATTTAGAACTCTATCTACCTTCAAATGACAATGCAACAAGGAAACAAGTATATATAGGGTAAAAAGGGTGACATTGTGCAGACAATGATATTTTCTATAAGGTGGTTGAGCACTAATATAATAGGCTAATAGCTGTCACTATGCTTCATTAATTTATAATTGGTGAGTTTAAGGACATATTTTTAAAAGTCAATTTGTTGGTTGTCAACTTTATCAGGGGAAAAGGAAGATAAACCACCTTAATGAATAAACTTTGTAATTAAAAGCTTCGACCTCTTTTTGATACTCCATTCCAAAAAAGGATTTCCCATTTTGACTTCATGGAGATTAATATTTTTTTTAAAGATATTGAAAAGATGTTGAATAGTCAAGTGGTTAGAATTTGTTTAGAAAAGAGAGGAGTACTTTGGACAACGTATTCTTTTCTAAAAATGGAAAGAGAAATAGTGAAAAAATTATTTTGGAACGGATGAAAAAGGAAACAGAGAAATCCATTTGGGACGGAGGTAGACTTCTAATAAGTTGGAAAAATATTCAGACCTACTAAATCTGAGTACGATCGATATATATCTTTTCAATATGTCTCTTAATCTGGTTTTGAATATTATTCTTTTGTTCGTAAATTGCCCTAATAAATGTGGGAAATATTTTTAAATTGTGTATCTGTCAAAGTTTCATGCCAATATTTCTTGTAATGCATTTTGGAGTTGATTCTGTAGCTAGCCCAGACAACTGGGGTGTAAGTTATTCCTTTTTCTTCATCTCAAGTATCTTTACTTGCTGGGATTATTTAGATGATACTTCTTGCTGGCGAACAAATATCTGGGCTTTATAGCAATGATACTAATAGAAGTGTGAAACAAAGGTCTTTGGCCAGTGGCCAGGAGTTTGCGGAAAGTATGGACCACGATATTCCTGATGGTAATTCACTTTTTTCATTGTGTGCTCTTTGTTAGTTTGATGGCGATTACTATTTACTACCATCATCAGCGCCTTAATCCCAATTATGTTTGGGTTGGTGCCTGGTGGCATGAAATGCATAATGTTGAATAATTGTCTATTAGTATTTAGCACTATACATTGACTACATTGAAGGATATTTAATTTGATAAAGAATGAAATCTTAACAGGAACTATTGTTGCCATTGAAGATGTGAGTCAACATATGTTTATTGCAGTCAATAGAGCTGAAAGTAGTTATACTTTAGTTGGTGAAATACATTACTCACTTGCAGGCGAGAGGGCTCTCTTTAGGGTAAGAAATTTCTTCCTTTCTGATATTATTATCTTATTCAACATAATGTCTTTGTAACTGGTTAAGTGTCAAATATGTTGTTAAATGTGACCACATTATAGCTAGTTTATTTTGGAAACAAACAATGGGTATGATTAGCTCCCACCGGAAAATGCCATCAACAGCTACTTTCTACTAATGTGGCAGAGCACATTGAGGGAATGATTTATGTTGACAGCAAAGTATTGAAGTCTATAAGTGTATTAGCTGCTATATTCAACCATTTATTATTGTTATGTAGCTCCTATATCTGCCTTATAATTTCTGTCCATGAATTTATTATTATAAAATGACATCATGACATGGTTTTTAGCTCATACCTTTTACCAGGGCATTAGGCAGCAAATTCATGCTATTCCTATTTATCATTCAGTGGGACCTTCTCCACTTTTAGTTCAAACTCATTTGTAAATTTGATCGCCAGCAAGAAGGCATCATTCATGTCTAAGTTTCTGGCATTGGTTGTGTGTGTGTGTCCGCGTGCATGTTGAAGTGTTGAACAGAAGTCCTTCCTCGCAACAGTAATATACTAACATCACTCATTCTATGGCTTCTTTGATCAATTTAACTGTGCTCAGGTGAAGTATCATGAATCAAGGAGGTGGATGTCCCAAACTTCTTATTTTTCATTGATTTCATTGTATGCCAATGATGAATATGGGGAACCATTGCGATTAAGCTGCAGGATGAGATCTGATTATGTTGACATTTCCATATCTGATCGTGGTGCATGCACACTTTGGTATGCCATTCCTTGCGAATTGAAAGCATTCGAGGGAGCTGCTGATTGTGAAATGTTTCCCTCAACCAAACGTATGTTTCAACTTGTGAACAAGAAAAATGGCCGTGCTGCTGCTTTTGTTGACGGGGTCCTGGAATTTGTCAGCAAGCCAGGAAATCCATTTAAATGGAAAGTACTTGATAATCATTTTCCAACTGTTAATAATCATTCGCCTAGTATTTTAAGGGAGGAATCTCAAACAGGTAATCAATATGAATTACAAGTAAAAGACAGAGCAGATCATGGAAAAAATGAAAATACTTCGGGTATAACTATTACAATGGACAATATTTCATGGACCATCGTGCATGAACTTTCACATACTAAGGAAAAGTTTCCACTCCTTCAGGGGTCTATTAGTTCTACTGAGACTATGGTTCAGATTTCAAACAATAAAATTCGGGTGATGAGCAGGTTACAGGCTCTACTATATTATTTTGACGCCAAGAAAAACTTATGGTGAGCATACATTTTAATACGTATTATTCAAGAAATATCAGGAAACCCCATATCACTTTCCCAATGTTTCAATACACAAATTCATGCAGGAGAAAATTGATGCATCCACTTGAAGTTTTCATTTTCTATCGTTATAGACTCCTATCCAAGGACTTGGAACATGTTACCCATCGGGTGCCTGGTCATCTCTATGCAAGAACTGGAGAGGTCTGTTATCTTGTGTACTAGTTTTCTGTCTATCTGATGGTGCTAGTTTCTGGATGCTTCTAATTATTTGTTGCATGGTATTTGCAGTTAAATTTATCAATGTGTGAGGCTGCACTCGATATCATACTCTTTGTCATTGGGCAGTTAAATTTGGCTGGCCCTTATGCAGTAAAAAGCTCCAACATTTTAGCAAACTGCTGCAAGGTTCTCTATATCATATGTAAATCTTTTTAATCAAACATTTTATGATATGCTTAATAACATACTATTATATAGAACCAAATGTGTCATTGTGCTCATACCCCTACATAATCTTTGATAGCAAACTTAATAGCTTCTTACTTCCAGATTGAAAATAAGTCAAGCTTGACGCTTGTCTGTAACTTCTATGATAATCAAGATGTTTCAGTTTCTGGAAGACAATCTAGTGTCATATTATTAAGGTATGCTAATGCATTTTCCTGTTCTGACTTGAAACGTTCTGTGCTATTTCCCTCGATCCTATATTATTACCGGCTTTGAAACAACCACAGTAAGTTTCTTAGCGGGGGCTAGCTTGCAGCTTGCTAAAAATTACTTTGTATGGATTAATGTCATCCATCTTGTTCTAGGAACTCTATTCAAATAGAAGTGGGTTTTCTCTTTAGAAGATTTGTTAAGAGAACAATGAATATAAATCTTAACCCACCAGTAAGTTGATGAATATACCTCTAACTAAATTTGTATAGCTTAATTTAAAATTCTTGTTGTCGTACCTATAGAAGATTGTTAAATAACAACTTGCATATGCTATATAATATGGATCTCAGGCATTTGGCTTCAACAAATCAGTCCCCAGATGCATATGTTTTTTCAATCCAACTTACAGAGACGAGGGTCCTATCTACTTCTTTAATTCGTCTCTCACTCTTGGAAGCCCAAGCATTCTCTTGTAGAACACGTATAGAATCATTAAAAGGTGAGTTTATCTTTTTTCTGTAACATGAGATCATAACTATTCTCAAATCTGGATTGATTGGATTGTGTCTTAGACTCGAGTAAATTCCACGAATGATACCTAAACTTTCAGTTTTTTTCCTTTTGGTACCTAAACTTCATTTTCTATCTTAAAAATATTTGTACTTTGAAAACCTTTCGCGAATGGTTCCTGGAGCCGGTTTCCCGGAAACCATGATGTCATTCACTCATCAATTTGACCCTGTTATTTTTTCATCTTCTCCCACCACACACTTCCCTCTTCTTATTCTTCTTCTTTCACCCCATTTTTTTCTTTCTTTTTATTTTCCCCCTTTTACCTTTTTCCCCTCCCCCACCCCCTCCCTTCCCTCTTTTTTTCCAGCCCCAACCACTTTTTTTATTCAGTTTTTTACTTCTTTTTATTAATTTTTTATTTGTTTGTTTTTATATCATTTTTGTTAATACATGTCCTTTTTGGTTTTTATATTTTTTTGCTTTAGTTTTTTGTTTGTTTTCGATCTTTGTTGTAAACTGCTCCCTCCGCCCCCCAAATTCGTTCACTTTCATTTTGGCACACAAACCAATTACATTGGTAAAATGACTCAATTGCCCTTTAACTGCCCTGCGTTCCTCAACCGCCCAAGCCTTTTCCCTCCACCACCCAGCCTATGCCCTCCGCCACCGCAGCCTCCCAATCCATTGTCATCCCAACGTCCTCCACCATCTGCACGCTAGCCACCGCCCAGCTCCCTCTAGTTTCAAAATGTGAAAACAAAAACCAACAAGAGACCAAGCATTAGGTTTAGTGGAGAGAAACCACCCGACAGAAAACAAAGCCCCAATATAATTTTCAGATCTAGAACATAATCAGGTTTAGATTTCAATATAGAACAAACCTAGATTTCAGGCGACATCAATTTCAGAACGGAATTAGATCTAGATTTTAGAATTTAGAAAACAAAATTGACATGTCGGAGAACAGGAGAAGACAACCAGTGTGCTGAGATCAAAGAGAAACGAAGAAGACATCTAGCTCCGGCCCGTCTTCAAAAACATCAGTCGGCCGCCATCCTACTCCATAGTTGTTCGTCAAAGACATCTAGCCCCTACAATATTGACATCTCGGAGATGACAACCAGTGCACTGAGATGAAAGAGAGACAAAGGGGAAGAAACATGAGAGAGATTGGGTTTTAGGATAAGATTACATATGAAGAGAGATTTGAATAAGGGAGAAAGAGATTAAATGATGAGGGAGTACTAAACAAAAACAAATAAACAAAATATGCCCAAAATAAATAAAAAGAGCATAGCTAGACATAAAATCAAAATAACTAATCAATCTTTTTTTTTGTTTTCTATCTTTTGTATTAACAAGTGTCTTATCGTTTTTGTTTGTTATTTTTATAACTTTTAATATTTTTGACAGAATAATTGTATTGCTCACATAATACGAAGGGTTTGGTACAATATATATAGAGATAAAAGCTAGACTATTACACAAGAGCCCAATATTATATTATAGTTACATATACTATCTAAAACCCCTTCCTCAAGCTGAGAGTGACTTGAGCAAAAAGAAGCTTGGACACGAGAGAATGAAAACGCTGTGATGTCAAGGGCTTCGTGAGAAAGTCAGCGAGTTGACATTCAGAGGAAACATGCTCAACTCTCATGGATCCATCAATAACTTGTTCGCGAACAAAGTGACAATCAGTTCCTACATGCTTCATCTTCTAATGAAAAACCGGATTTTTGGTGAGACAGATGGTCTGATTATCGCAGAAAAGCACTGGTGGAGGCGTAGCAATGTGTAACTGCAAGTCAGAATATAGATAAGCCACATTACCTCCGATGCCGCAGCGGACAAGGAACGATATTCTGCTTCTGTAGATGACTTAGAGACACGAGTATGCTTTTCAGTGCTCCAAGACACAGGATTATCACCAAGATAGATGAGATAGGCTGTTGTGGATCGACTATCTTGTGGATCATTAGCCCAATCAGATCCAGAGTAGCCGCGGAGACGCATATCCCCCTGCCAAGCAAAATACTATTTGTGAGGGTACCTTTAACATAGTGCAAAATGTGCTTTAGAGTATGAAAGTCATGTTCGGTAGGATTGCGCATTTTTTTTAGCAACATAATTCACCGCAAACTGAATGTTAGGGCGAGTGACTATGAGGTACTGCGAAATAACCTTGAATTAGCAAAGGGAATATTAGCTCCATTCTCTGGACGCGCTAGGATTGATTGGCGGAGGAGCAGTGGTGACCGAATCAATCCCAGCGCGATGTATAAGCTCGCTAGAATATTTTGTGTGGCAAAGGAGTAGACGGTCGGCTGAGCGCTGAACCTCGAGGCCTAAAAAATATTTCAAGGGGTAAAGATCCTTCATTTGGAACTCATGACTCATACTATGAATAAGATGCCCCAAGCGAGTAAACTTTTCAAAAGGACTCGCTGGGGATGACCATTTGTGCTAGTTACAGTTTCAGTGCCAGAATATGGGGAGTACGAGTAGAGGCATGACAAATCTGGCGTAACATGAGCATTAGCACCTGTATCCAAAAACCAGTTACCATTAGAGCTTGTAAATTGAGACGCATAAAAGGCTTGTGGGGTGGAGGAAGATGGCCCACTGTAGTTGGGGTCAAATTTGACTGACAATGGAGCTCGGAGAACCCCTTCCCCCATGGCCTGCATTTTCGCCGCGTCCACGGGTGGCACCACTGCGGCTAGAGGAATACCCACGGCCTCTGTTCGGCTCACGGCCAAAAAAGATTAAAAAAATAGACAATTAAATAGGATTAAAATACTGGGAGAAAAGATCAAAAAATAAACAAAAAAATTTAACGAACAAAAAAGATTACAACAACGCAGCTAGATCACAAAAAAAACATTGAAAACAAAAAATAAGACTACAATATTGAGGAAAAAGATCAAAAATAAACAAAATAAATCATAAAACTAAAAGAACGAAAGTACTAAAAATAAGAAAAAAAATTGAAATATAATATCGGAGTAAAAGTTAACAAATTAAAATTAAAAAAAAAGAAGTAAAAAAGGAAACAAAATAAAAGAAATGCAGGGGGGGTGAGGGCTGGGGTTGAAAAACACAAAGAAGGGATGGGTGGGGCGGAGGGGAAAAGGAAAAAATATGGGGGTCAAAAAAAAGAAGAAAAAATGGGGTGAAAGAAGAAGAAGAAGAGGGGAGTGGGTGGAAGTAGATGAAGATAAAATAATGAGGTCAGATTGAAGAGTTTAAAATATGTAAAATTGTAATTTGGCCCAAATGACCTGTTGGTCACATGGAAACCGGGTTTAGGTACCATTCGTGAAAAGTTTTCAAAGTTCAAGGATTTTTGAGATAGAAAATGAAGTCTAGGTACCAAAATGAAAAATACCTGTGAAAGTTCTGAAAGTTCAGGTACCATTTGTGAAATTGTCCCTCTTAGACTTTCTTAGTCTAGGTGGGTTGTTTCTTTTTTTAGTTGATTATTACTCTTTTTGCCTACTATTTTTGTCCCTTTTTGTTCACTTTGTTATGTCCCAAAAAACTCGCTATTTTTTTGGCTTTGGGGTATGATGGAATAAAGAAAATTGGCTCATTGAATTGTCGAGGCTCATCATGGGTCGTCCAAAAGCAGCCGCTCTATGTTTTAAACATAGGGGTCAGGCTGCGTAAGGGGTAAGGCACACCCGACCATACTTTTGTGGGATTGAACCAAGTTGTTGTTATGTCCCAAAATCTTTTTTCCAAGTCATATTTGATTTAATTTATGTCGCTTAAATCATTTCGTACTTTACAAATTCAATATCAACCACACAATTCCAACAACAACAACCCTCCTAGTCAAACCACACAATTCCACTTCGTAAATTCTGTTTGACATTCTCCCACATCCCTTTATGTTTTTGGGACGGAAGAAGCATTTTTTGACAGTTTTTCTGAAACACACACCCAAAATGGAACAAGGGCATGACACATTGATATATCTCGAACTAGGGGTCTTAACAGAGTTGTGGTTTTCGGAGAGGAAATGTGATAATATGTTGAAGGCAAGCAAGAGGCGAAATGAATGGAGTGTGAAAGAGTTCTTTTTAATGGTTTTTAATATGAGAAAGGAAAGGAGGATCAGGAGAGAAATGGTGGGATTAGAAATGGCTAGAAATAAGTGTTGGATAAACCAAGTTGGTGTTAAGAGATATTACACACTCTTCTCCTAACTTGGGGTTGAATCTAGTATTCAAATAAGATATAACACACTTATTTAAATAACTAGAATCTAAAACTCACACTTAAGGTAACCACCCTTAAGATATAGAATTAGGGGTTTAAAATAGCAAACACATAAGTGTATTACTGATGGAAATTTCAGATTCAAAAGTGAGTTACAACAATGGCCAATGGCCGATATAAATAAGCAAGCAAGAAAGGGGAAAGTACCAAGTTCTTTCCTTAACAAATCTTTGACAATAATAATCAAATATGGAGTCCTTTCATGGGGGATGAATCAGGGATTTTGTGGGGGTGTTGGGTGACATTAGTTTGTGGTTTTTGATGGGGAAATATTAAGGGATGTGGGCTGTGTTTCTAGGCTGGGCTGGTTCGGCCATATTAGGGGGCAAAGGGTGACTGATTTGGGACTTGATTTGGCTCTATATTGATGTGAATATTTAGTGGTTGGGGAGGGACTTCATTTGGCCAGGTT